GAAACATGTGACATTGGTTGAAGCCAGAGAGTTTAAATAGATAGCTTCCTAGTTAGGCTATAGGTATGACAGCTAGTATAGAACCCTTAGCATAGCACTAACGCTTCAGGCAAACTACTGAAATAGGCAACCAAAAGTTGTATGTATAACTAGTTGTACTCTCGTAATACTGATGTAATATGTAAGCTAGTTTTCGGACAATGGTCCACCCGTTTGAACTAATAAAGTGCTAGGGGCCTAAGTGGTCACCTCAATATTAAAAAAAAAAAAAAAAAAAAAATTATATATCTTTATTTTAAGGAATGAATTTAGATAATGAATATTTCTTTTGAATTAATAGGAGCATACCTTATATACATTCTAATTTCTTATAACCTTATAGCTAAAATTATAGTATATAAATCTAATCTACATATTCTTTTATACAAATAGCTTATTCCATCAAGTTTATTTGTATTGTATATATTAAGCCACAAAGAATACAAATACAACTAGAGTAAGATTAATAACTATAGAAATACAATTATAAAAGGTAAATGACAATTTAAAGAATTATACAAATACGGAAGTGAGAGACACAGAACAAAATTATCAGCAAAGCTAACTTACTAACTTACTAAATCTTATAATGCATATAGGCAAAATTTTTATTTTTTTTTAATGTAATTGCATAGAAGGAATTTTATTAATAAAATAACTCTTAAATAAAAAATTTTATGTGATAGTGATTATAAATATTTTGTGATTATATAGAGGGCTTTTAATAATAAAACAAATAGTATCAAAATATTATGTGATTGTATAGAGTTTGTAATTATATAGGAAGTAATTGTAAAGGGAGACGTCTATGCTAGTAAGTTAAATAAAGCTTATTCATTGGTTAATAATACAACAGAACATTTGTGTTTTAGTCAGTAGTCAAAAGAATGTATGAACAAATATACAAATAGTACTTGTTTAAAATAAGTTATTATTAAAGTGTAATAATTTTATTTATTCTTATTAATATTTTAAGTTAAAAATTAATATAAATATAAAAGCGATTTTGCAATTGCAATTTATGGAATAACCAAGAGCCCAAAAGATAGTAACTACAGGATGGTTATGGAGTATACAAAGCAGGGAAGTCTCAGAAAATTGTTAGATAATAAATATGGTGAATTTGATTGGGCTTCTAAAGTAGCAACTTTATATTATATAGCTAATAGGCTTAATATAATTTACAAAGCTCATAAAGATTTTCATTCTAGCAATATAGTTTTTATATTATCTGTTACTGATTTTGGTTTATACTTTAGATGCAAATGGAACAGATATTTATTCTTTCAGAATAATTATATTAGAAGTTCTTACTAGATATTCTCCATATTATGATATTTCACACAATGGAGATTAGCAACAGGTATTTGTTTTGGTTATAGAAGATATGAAACTCCCCAATTACTTTTGGATTTGATAAATAAATGCTTAGATACAGAACCTCAAAACCGACCAACTGCTAGAAAATTAGCTAATACATTGAATAGTTTTTTTTTTTAGGTTTAAAAGATAAAAAAACCAAATTATATAAGCAAGTTAAAAATATTAAAAACTTTGGCAAAAATTTTTAATATATGATCAAATCAAATCGTCATAATTTAAATATCAGACACATTCACAAGCTATTTGTGGAAACTAAAATGGTAAGTATTGAATATAGCATTTAAATAGAATTAAAGTTGAACTGAATGCCAATAGAAGTGATACTAATAGAATGTACTGTGATTCCTCGGTCTCTTTTCCTGTAGCCACTATTTTAGCCTCTTCCCTTTTAGCCTTCTTGATTTCTTTTTTCAACTAGTACAACATACTCTTTTGGTTTAACTCTCTTAATCTGATCTACCTTATTCTCTCTCTCTCTTCTATCTTATCTTAGTCTTCTGCCTTTTACCTAATTGAGCATCTTTGCATTTTGGGTTTGGCCTTATAAACGTCATTACGAATATAGAATTGATGTTGAAAAAAACAAAGTATTTGGACAGTATTTGGAAGTTTTTCATATTGCCGGCTTAGAAGAATTAATACCAGATACTAAATTTTGACTTGAATATGTTGACAAAAGAAATATTACTATTCATCAGTATAAACAAAATATTTTAAAAGAAGTTTATCTGATTTTGTCTCAGTTTTTCGAAGATTTAGACTTATTAATCAAAAATCTTAAAAAATTTTAATATGACATTGCAAATGGAAACTAGATACTGAAAAATTATTTAGCAAATTTTAAGTAAATATCTTTATAAATTTTATGCTTATGGTTCTCAAGTAAAAAAGACCACAAGAAAACTTTCTAATCTAGATATTTGCTACCAAGAAAATATTCTCAATTTCTTAGTTTTCAAAATTAAGAATGAGTTTACTAAATCCAACTTGCTATTTTTAATATGTTGAAGATAGTAATTCAGATAGATAGTTAATATAGTAAATGCAGGTAATGATATTTATTTACTTAAATTGAATTTTTTTTTTTTTTAGATATTAAAATAACTACTTATAGTCTCTGGCACTTTATTAGTTCAAGCGAGTAGTCCATATCTAATGACATAGACCACATGTTATATTAGTATTATAAAAGTACAACTAGCTATATATACAACTTTTAGTTGTCTAATTAAGTAGTTCGCCTGAAGCATTAGTGTTATGCTAAGGGTTCTATACTAGATATCATACCTATAGCCTAACTAGGAAGCTATCTAATTAAACTTTCTGGCTTTTACTAGTATTACATATTTCTTCCTAATATGTCTCTTTTTATAGGAACAATTTACTATTTAAGATGCTAAGACTTTAGCTAACAACAGAAAGCATTTATCCTTGTGATAAACCTAATAGTGCAGTAGTATCTCAAGCCAACTTTTGGGGTGCTGCCATAACCCAATTCATATCTCAAACGCCAACCTTTTTAATTAGTTATCTATTATGTACTTCTGCTCTTGCAAGGTTTACAACAACCCCAGTACCCAATCCAACCGTCTTCTTACTCAGATTCTTAATCGGTCCCTTCCTTATTTCTAGCCGGCAACCCGGATGGGTTGGTCTGCCTAGGCTTTAAATATCTAAAAGATGCTCTTTTCTTGGTTCATACTTTTAGAGCGTATGCCCTTTTCCTCCAGTATGTTTGCCTGGCAGTTTGGCTAGTATGTCCTCCACTAAAGAACCTGGTCGCTTGGTTCTCTAATCTTGGCCCTGATTCAAATTCAGCTGTTATGTAGTACTGTCAAAAATCACTGCTACTCCCAACTCAAGACTTTTCAAATGGGCTTCCTGTATGATAATAAACAGTTTCCCAGATTTACACAATCATGGACTTATCAAGTGTTTGTACTGCCTGAAACCAGTTTGCATTTCTTTGTAGTTTCCAGGTTTTCTCAGTTATACAAATGCTAGCAGATCTCCTAGGATCACTCTTTGGTGCAACTCGAGTTACAGATCTTTAATTCAAGATCCAAACATCTTATATAGGTTACCGTACTACTACAGATCTATTTTTCAAAATCATTGTCTGTAGAATTCAAACTCTAGACCTACTACTTGGAGAGGATGACAACTAGACCACTTCACTAAGCCACCATATCTCATTTTACTCAAATTGAATTTAACTTGTAGTTTAGTATATTTATATATATATTTTACAGATCGAACTTTAAAATTTTAATAAAATTTCGAACATTTATAAAGCCGATAGCAATCTGATATTGCAATCTATTGGCTAGATATTGCATCCAATAGGTCTATTAGACATTGGACACTTATATTGTAAAATATCAGATTTTTGATATTTTGTTAATAAAAATAGCAGATCTTTAATATGACTATTGGATACAATATTTATTTGATAAGTAGCAATACACTACTTATATTTCACAGAAATCTTGTCAAAATTTTGAAGTTCGATTTGTGTTTAACCTAGTCAACATATTAAATATATCGAAGTTCTAGATAGTAAGTAATATTTGATTTACTTATAATTAAACAGATTTATTGCTTACTTTATATTGTTATTTAGATTATTAAATCAATTAAAAAGAAGTTATTAAATTGGAAGCATTCTATTTATAATTGCTATGCTACAATAATTTAGCAATTGTAATATATCTTCATGTATGTATAGTATGTGTCTAAAGACAACTGTTTTGCAGATAAAGTTGACCGGTTTAAGTTAGGATTGGCCTGACTTATAGTTTAGTATAGGCTAGATGTAGATTGTTCGCTAGAGTTAGTTTAGTTAGAGTTAGTCTAGTTAAAGTTAGAGCTAGTTTAGTACATTAGAGTAGAATTAAAATTAAATAGTTAATTTTAGATAGTGATTTTTTTAACAAATGAGCAATAATGGCTCATTTTGGTAATGTAAATAGGGTTTAAGGTTTTTTGTTTAATCTATAAGGTCATATTTGTTTATTTGAAAAATCAACTTCTCTGATTTGTTTTCTCTTGTGATTGGTAATATTTCGAATTTGTTATGCGAATTGTTATGCATAATAATTTTGAATATGATTGTTTTTTTTTTTTACTTGTACTTGATTATATTAAAAAACAAAATGTAGAAAACTCAATTTTTATTATTCAAAAAAAAAAAAAAATACAAATAATCACTACTATAATCTACTACTATACTGTATCCAAAATCTAATATACAATTCTAATACCACTATACTATATTAGCTATAATATCTTGAACTACTTTTAGTTTTAATATCTCAAATCTAACTACCATGCTTCTAATATCCTGAATCTCATTATTATGATACATCTAGTTCTAAATAGTTCTAACAATTGTACAATATCTAGTTTTAAGTATTATGCTATGTCTAGTTCTAATACTCTAGATCTAACTGCTATGCTATATATAGTTCTAACTATTATGCTGTATCTAGTTCTAATATCCAAATCTAACTACCATACTATATAGTTTATATTCAGTTTTAACTACTGTGCTATGTTCATAGTTCTAATTAAGACAGCAAAGATTCTGAACACAATAACTAAACTTAAAATTATCAACGATGAAAGTTCAAATTTTTAAGAGTGGCACAAAGACAATGAAAGCCTACAAGCAATGATAGCTAAATTACATACTACCAGCTTGGTAATAGTAAAACTTAGCTATATTTAGATTTATATAATGATCTATATTTTTATTTGTTTATATTTTTTAACCAATCAAATTAAATATTCACCATGCTCACATAACTCCCTTCTATATTCACTGCATCTCTCATATTTACAACATGCAACTCCCTTTTTTGGTATTCCATAGGAGGCCTCATAACCTGATAGTTACTTCCAAATTACTTACTTTTGGTTTTAAACAAATAATTTTTTATATTTTAATAAAAAATTTTTTATAAAATTTCAAATATATTTAACCTTAGTACTAATAATATGCTTTATTATTTTTTTTTAACCATAATGTAATTTAGAAATTAAAACTGCTTAAAATTTTTTTAACTATTTAATTCAGTTAATATTAAAATTGTTCTGACTTATAAACATAACTCGGCCTAGTACTATAAAAATTTTTTATACAATTAAATGGTTTCAATCTATAAGTTTATTTAATTAGAAATAGAGTTAAATAAATCCCAAATATTGATATTCAATGAATTATTTTTATTTTATTTTATTTTTTACTTAATGCTATTATTTGATCCAAACTCTGCAAAAAAAATTATATATATTATTGTCTAAAGTGTTAGTATGTCTGTGAAATATCAATTTGCAGTCTATATATTGATTATATTGTTAAAACATTAACAAAGTTCAAAATTATCTATAAAAATACAATTTTTTTTTTAGTTTCATTTGGACTATTATTAGATCCTGATTTCTAATACCTTTATATACTACAATAATTAAGAGTAGAAAATACTATTTGCAAATTTTATATAAAACTAATGATAACTTTTTTTTCTTTTTAAAATTAAAGAAAACTTTATTAAGTAAACTAATTTTAAATTTCTAATTTATATATAATTGTATATGGTTTGAGGCAGGTTTATTATTTATTTAATCAACAATAGTAAACTATTTCAACTAAACTAAGCTTTAAAAATTGCAAACTTGATATCTCCTAGCTGCAGAAGCCGTGCCTATGAGTGACTCATTACACCATTTTGTACACAAGTTAAATAGACCTTGCTAGCCCGTCGAGAGCTAATTTCTTCAATTCTTCTTTCTTTACTGAGAGTAAAAGAAAGTAGTGATTTTATATTAATATTACAAAACCACCAATCATGAAACAAAAAAAAAACTATATCTAATAACAAAACAAATTAAATAAAAGGAAAAATTTTAAAGAAAAAAAAAAGAGAAAAAAAAACATAAAAAAAGAAAAACAAAGAGAGAAGCCAAAAAGTGGGTACTATCTCTATCAAAAAGCAGCCAAGCACCCCGAAGGATGCTATGAACAAAAAACATGCACTGTTATAACTTGTACCAAGTTACAATAAAAATTTTATAACAACTACAACTATTGTATATCTCAATTCTGAAAACAAATCCCAATACTTTTTTAACTTGAGACCCCAATTTAAGTTACATGGAGTAACGCTGTATCTTCAAAGTAAACAAGACATGTCGGTTGTAATATACTGAGTTTGTCCAGATTTGGATATAAACAATGCTGATCTTTTGAAAGGTAAGCCAAATCCCCACTTTTTGTCGAAATTTTTGAAAGAACAACAGAAAGTTGAAAAAAAGTAGTAGAGGAGTCACTTAAGACAAAAAAAGAGTGTAGCTTCAGAGCAACAGATATTTGTTGTTTTCCCTGTATTCTTCTTCGAAGTAATGATCTAAAAGCTTCATTGATGACGTTAGTTTGTTTCTAAACAACCTGCCACCAAGATTTTTTATACAAGGGCGCCCCTGCCAGTTATCTTGTATAATAATACTCTTGGCTTGCATGCTAAATGTCTCTTGTAAAGGAGTCTCCTATAGCAATAGGTTGACCTCTAGACAAACCGCCAGTAGACCACGACTCTTAAACAAATTTTTATATTTTTTGTTAGTAGGAATTTTGGTCCAAGTGATCATTGGAAAGAGT